TTTATTTGTATTGTTATTATTTTTAAAGTAAAGTAAATTAACTTGTTACTAGTTACTTTTATAATTTAGTAACTAATAAAGTAACTAGTTACTTTATTGAGAGCAGTAACTATAACTATTACTAGTTACTTTTTAAAAGTAACTTTCCCAACACTGGTTATCACAAATTGTTAAGTTGTGCTATCTTACAATCAATAATGTATATAGTAAATGTGAGGTGAAGTGTGTCGCCAATGGAACCGGTTAGAACTCGAAGTTGCAATGAAGTCTTAAAATGTATGGAAAGGGTCTTAAAAAAGGTCTTAAAAGGTTGACCTCAGGATTCCTGCATATACCCTGTGTCAAACATATTCTGATATCTGGTTCTAGCCTTATAATACTTCAATATCTCCTACCAACATGTATCACATACTGTTTCTAATTTAGGTCAATTTTTAACTAAATCCTATGTTGCTATCTATCTATTTAGCCTACAACACCCTCTATCCTTGGACCTTAGAGGTCTTTTTCTCTCAATACATTTCATCTGATGCAGCATGGTCACTTACATTATTGATGGTTCCATCCCAAGCTTTTTTATAACAGTAATGTTTGTTTCTAAATCAACTTTGCTGCTCTGTTTTCTGGAATCCATCATCATCATTTAGCCAGGAGAAAGTGTCATTGATTTTAGGAGATTAATTAGCTAATTTCCTCTGAACAGGGTAATCAGTCTGTATCCTAAATAACACTTAATTTCAGAGACAGTTACAGCCAACACGCACGCTGCATGATAATTTGTGAGTATCAAGGAATAACACAAGTATTTGAACACCTGACCAGCAGTCAACATGCTGCAGGAGGCCTTAGCTCTGATTAGTACTCAGTGGGGCCTCTGCTTAAGTACATGAGCTGTATATACCTGCACTGATTGCCTGATGCTGGGTCTCATCTGGGCCCTGTATTAATATTTACACTACTGCAAGTTGCCCGTGAATTCAGAGTTAACCCAATCATAGCAACACAGACATCAAAACAAACTCTGAATAAGAGCAAAGAATTTAAGCATTTGACTGGTCCCCCCCACCCCATCTTTTTCTAATTTGCAAGCGCTGTTGTAGTTTTGATTAGACGTGAAATCAAATGTAGCTCGCCAACTATAAAATCCAATTTCTTTGTCAGCTTGTCAGACAGTACGTGCTGGCACTAAAGACACCGGGTTAATGAGAGATACCCGGTCACACAGGTAGAGAATGAAAATGTTTAATAGTAGTAACCTAGCTACAGCGAACCTGTTTATACAAGCAGCAGGTCAGTAATAACATTGTACCCCTGACCTTAATTATCAAACTTATGTTTTTGATGTGCTGGTGAACTAATGGGGCATTGAAAGTACATGCACATTTGTCCTAAACTGTTCAGCTGTGGATACAAAAAACCTACTTAATCAGACTTTTGGAGGCTTCTTTGTGTTTTAGTAGCTTGAAATATTGTCAATGTAAGGACAAATTGCTTTGTGCCATGGTCTTTTGTTGAGTCCCACTGCTGTCACAGCAATTCTTTGTCTCCCAGTCTTTTTCAAGCACAGGTTTACAGTAAAAATGAATAGAAACCCAGTTATTCAATCAATCAATCAAAGTTTATTTATATAGCCCAGTATCAAAAATGTTATATTTGTCTCAGTGGACTTTACAGTTTGTACAGAGTATACAGTATATACGACACCCTCTGTCCTTGGACCTTCACCCTCACAAGGAAGATCTTCCAAAGATACCCCACAGTTAATGGGGGGCAATAGATGTTGTGTGTGAATTAAAAAAGATAAGACATTTACAACATAGGTAGTCCAAATGCTTGAAAATGCATGTCTATAAATAAGAAGATGAATCCAGGTCGATGTCAACAATCCTGTAGGAGCCATCAAATAAGTAGTAAGCTCAGCATTTGGCCAGAACACAGCAACAGGCACAGCCAGGACTCAAGATCCAGGACTCAGGATCCATGACTCAGACCCACTACTCAGTGGACTCAGTTATTCATTATCAGAATCAGAATCCCTTTATTAGTTTCACAGAGGGGAAATCTACTTTGTTACAGCAGAAAAAGAGCCACAGACAGCTTAATGTTACATAAGTTATATGCATTAAAAAAGTATTAAAGTTTAAAAAAAAATTATGATATAATAACAAATATAATTAAAAATGTTACACAAATTACAAAATACACATCCTGTAACAGTTCTTAGGATTTAGCAGCCAGGTATATATTGCACAGTTATTAACGGCATACAGGACTGTCTCAGAAAATTAGAATATTGTGATAAAGTTCTTTATTTTCTGTAATGCAATTTAAAAAAACAAAAATGTCATACATTCTGGATTCATTACAAATCAACTGAAATATTGCAAGCCTTTTATTATTTTAATATTGCTGATTATGGCATACAGCTTAAGAAAACTCAAATATCCTATCTCTAAATATTAGAATATCATGAAAAAGTATACTAGTAGGGTGTTCAACGAATCACTTGAATCGTCTAATTAACTCGAAACACCTGCAAGGGTTTCCTGAGCCTTGAAAAACACTCAGCTTGGTTCAGTAAACTAAATCACAAGTATGGGGAAGACTGCTGATCTGACTGCTGTCCAGAGGACCGTCATTGACACCCTCCATCAGGAGGGTAAGACACAAAAAGAAATTTCTCAAAGAGCAAGCTGTTCACAGAGTGCAGTTTCAAAGCACATCCACAAAAAGTCTGTTGGAAGGGGGAAATGTGGCAGGAAACGCTGCACAACCAAGAGAGATGACCGCAGCCTTAACAGCATTGTGAAGAAGAGTCGCTTCCAGAATTTGGGGGAGCTTCAAAGACAGTGGACTGAAGCTGGAGTCCAGGTATCAAAAGTCACTGTTCACAGACGTGTCCGGGAAATGGGCTACAATAGCCGTATTCCCATGGTCAAGCCACTTCTGAACTCAAAGACAACGGAAGAGGCGTCTGACTTGGGCTAAGGAAAAGAAGCACTGGACAGTTGCACAGTGGTCCAAAGTCCTCTTTTCAGACGAAAGCAAGTTTTGTATTTCATTTGGAAGTCAAGGCGCCAGAGTCTGGAGAAAGGCTGGAGAGGAGCAAAATCCAAGTTGCTTGAAATCCAGTGTGAAGTTCCCACAGTCAGCGATGGTTTGGGGAGCCATGTCAGCTGCTGGTGTTGGTCCACTGTGTTTCATCAAGCCCAGAGTAAATGCAGCTGTGTACCAAGAGATTTTAGAGCACTACATGCTTCCGTCTGCTGAAAAGCTCTATGGAGATGAGGAATTCATTTTCCAGCATGATCTGGCACCTGCCCACAGTGCCAAAACCACCAGTAACTGGTGTACTGACCATGGCATTACTGTCCTCGATTGGCCTGCAAATTCCCCTGACCTGAACCCCATAGAGAATATGTGGGGTATTGTGAAGAAGAAGCTGAAAGACACCAGACCCAACAATGCTAATGAGCTAAAGGCCGCTATTGAAGCATCCTGGGCATCCATAACACCTCAGCAATGCCACAGGCTGATTGCCTCCATGCCACGCCGCATTGATGCAGTAATCCGTGCAAAAGGATTCCCAACCAAGTACTGAGTGCATTAATGGACATTTTCAAATGTTTGATTGTGTTTTGCTGTTATAAATCTTTTTTTTTTACTTGGTCTGAGGAACTATTCTAATTTTTTGAGATAGGATTTTTGAGTTTTCTTAAGCTGTATGCCATAATCAGCAATATTAAAATAATAAAAGGCTTGCAATATTTCAGTTGATTTGTAATGAATCCAGAATGTATGACATTTTTGTTTTTTTAATTGCATTACAGAAAATAAAGAACTTTATCACAATATTCTAATTTTCTGAGACAGTCCTGTATATATATATGGCACATAATGGCACATTTGGTTGGTATTTAACAGCAAGGGGTGTTATAGCCTGTGTTGTTGTTTGTGGGGGGGAGGGTCTACACACAATACACAGGTTAGCCATTTATTATATGAATGGCCAATAAATCAGCCTTTTCCACAATAAAAAGTTTTTGTAATTCTGTTTTTCTGATTCACTCCAATTAGACTAGATTTGTTTACGCAAAGAAATCAGGTTACTCAGAAAACATAATTTAATCTAGCACTGGCTGTATCATTAGCAGACTTGTATTACTTTTGGCAGTGACTCGGCTCTAGACTGCTTTGTATTGAGGGCCAATTAGAGATGATGGTGGGTCCCCAACAACTAGTGTTATTTTAGGACTATAAGCTACAACACACCCTGTTTTATGTTTTATCTTAAGCTTTCTCCCAACAAGTAGCACAAGCAGGATGTGTGCTGTCATCAGGGATTTCCACTTGGATATTGTTTAGCCAGCTGTTGGAGTCTAGGGGCATGCTCCCACAGAGATAACATCTATCACTAAAAGCCCACATTTGGTGGTCTGGCACACTTTAATGCCACAATTGCATCATATACACTGATGCAAACGAGTTGTCTACCCGATTGTAATTTATATGCATTAGGCTTCTTGTGTGATTTAGCTCACACTGTCTGTAAATAGCTAATATTGACTACTTCACTCCCTTTTCTTAGATGCACAGATTGTAGTAGGTATATTTTCAAAATGAACATGCGCTTTGTTACACACTGGAAAAAGTTACTTTTATAAGAGGATCACCAAAGAACCATTTATAAAATAAATAATGTGTAAAAACATGCTTGATCCTACGTATTACTGCACATAGTTTTCTGTCCATCATTTTTATTTTTAAAACAGGGTCATGTGACATAAAAGTTTAATAGCAAACAGCGGTTCCTCTTGTGCCAGTCCTGTTACACTGCCAACATTGTCTGTTCCGTTTGTAAAATGAAAGCTATATTATTATTATATTATTATGTAGGCACATTACCTAAGGCCCTTCAACATTGAAATGCTTGTGGTTGCAACACCTGTGTATTGTGTCACTTTGTCTGTTTGATTTGTTTGTTTTTCTTTCCCTCTCAGTTGTCATGGGAAATAAAAATAAAGAAAAAGCTGAAGATCGTTCCTGCTTGTCTGGGCAAATTCAGACCGACTGTTGGCCAGTGCTGCCACCAGTGCACCCCCAACAGTCTGGTGAGTGTGCAGCATGGGAGAATGTTAGAGAAAGAGAGTTGAGGAAAGTTTGAAAATGTGTTTAATTAAATTGAAATGTTCTAAATTTCGCCAAATTTTCCAAAGCACTGTCTTGGTTCGTCTGCAATACACTTGCAAAGTGTGTAGTAAATCTGATGTAGGGTTATTGGGAAAAGCGAAAGACATACACACACACACATGGACGGACGGACGGACGAACAGACAGTCTTGATTTTTTAGTTAACCAAAAATCAAAGAGGTAGATTTCCATCTTGACGCATTCCAGAAAATGCAATTGACTGAAGGAAATCACACTGACCCAACATGTCACACTAAGCTTTGTTAGGTTACTGAAAGATGATTTGATTTGCCCCATTCAGATGGCGTCTTTCAGTTGCATGTACATCTATAGGAAGACTTAGATCTGGGTCGATATTGACCTTCAGTAACCTTTGTTTGTTTTTATGACATGGCGTAGCGCAAGAAGACCGGGCCAAACGCATTCCTCGGCTTCCACAACCTGCTGAGTGTTAAAGAGACACACACCAGGTATTTATTGCATCTACAGTGTCCAACAAGATAATAAATGTTCCAGTCCCAACACACTCACCTATGCACACTTTCTGCCTCTGCATTGTGTGTTTTGTATCGCAGGTATCGAGGCTGGCTGGTGCGGAGGGTGTGCTGCGCGCTGTTCGTGAGTGGGTGCAAGGTTTACGCGAGTCCTGTTAGCAACAGATTGGAGAGAGTCTGTCAGAGCAACAGGTACCTGAGGGGAGAAAGAATGAGGAGGAGAGGAGTAGAGATGCCAGAAGAGAGTAAATAAATGATAGGTAGAGATACAGCAAATGAAACGGGCCCTGCAGTTCTAAACCGAGGGATGGAGAAAGAAGGAGGGGAGATAAGAGACACAAACAAAGATACAGAAAAGGAAGAACATTATGGGGTGTTAACAGGGTGAATGAAAGGAAATGGGATAACTTGGGACTGTCGTCACACTTTCTCTATCTCTGTCACTGAGTCTCCAGCTTGTATCTGTTGTTTTCTCTCCTTGGATGTAATTGAGTTTAACCTTTATGTAACCTCTTTACTCAGGGATGTTGTTGTCTTACTTGAAGGCGGGTGTTTGTCTGCATGTGGCACAAAAGAGGCTTTGTGATGTGTTAACCCTGCTGTCCTGTGACCATGGGTTACAGTGTGAAGGAGGCACTCTCAGCAGAGCAGAAAGCGCCTGAGGGGAGTGACAGCCGGGGGCAGCTCAGCCACCTCTCACCATTCCTCCCCCTCATTAACACCAGCATCTCCCCTGGCCTCTTACGGTGCGTGTGTGTGTTTTTCATGTGTGTTGGTCAAAGGGCAAGGTTCAAAGACTGCTGTGAATTGTTCATTTATGAAATTCATACTTGTATGTATTGATTTAAAGCTGCACAATGCAACCCTTTACTTACAATTAATAAATAGCATATATTCTCCAGTCAAAAATGTATTTCTTCTACAATTCATTCTCTTTGTTGTACCACAAGAAGACATTCCCTTGCAGCAAGGCAGCATAAAAACAATAAATATGAAAACAAATGCTTTAAGAAACACTTGAAGACATCAAGACAATGCAATTTCATGGAGATTGAAACAACAAAATCCCCCCTTCCTCTGCTATCGGTCGCTACAGGTGAAGCCCCTGCGATTCCATTTATTAGAATCATGTTTTTCCCATAAATTCCGTTCTGTATCTAAAAAGATAAAGCTGGTGACATTCAATATTTGTCTTATTTTTCTTGTCAACAAATCCCATGAATATACCGATACACGCTGAATTTATTTTGCTAACAAGTATTTTCTGTGTTGCCAAAGCCTGATGAAACGTATTCATCTGTGCCATAGACCTCTATTTTTGCCAAAAAGCTATACAGCACCTCAGAGAGCCAAGGTTTGTTTTGTTATGGTGAACATGGTCTATACTCCATCCTGCTGCCATACATTCTCACTGTTTTAGTAATGTCTGTAAAAAACCACAGAGCCCCAGCTGTTTAATTGGAGGTTTGTATTCAGGACATGTTCTGAAGCTTTATCTCTTCAGTAGGGACAAATGGGCTGGAGAAGTTGGACTGTTGTGAGAGAAGGACTTTTGGCCTTGGTCTTTTCACAGGATTTGTTCGCGAAAACAGAAGCACAGGATACTGTGTGCCTTATCCTTAAAGTACTACAATACCCAAGGGCATAGGCTGCTGTTGCTGTGAAGAGGAAGCCAGTCGAAGTGAGAACAACAACTGTAGCAAATTCAGAATCAATCTTTTGTGCAATTTGAAAAAAACAGCACACCATATTCTCCAAATTACTCAAGAATACAACAACAATGTGATTTATCTTGAATGTCTCATCGGTTTTCGAAAGAGCTCTCTATTTAGCTTAGTTTCACTGATGACGCCATCAACCGATTGAGGCCCAGTGATTAGATTTTCTTTTCTACTAAAAGGATCCTGTATACCAGGATGTATTTTTTACTGATGATCAATTAGAGCAGTGCTTCTCAAAGTGTGGCCCGCGGACCACTGGTTGTCTGTGAGCGCCCCCTAGTGGCCCGTGAGTATATTGGTAACATTTCACATTTGAAATAAATAAATAAATGTAAGTTTTCCGCACTCTCGCGGGAATATCTCCACAATGGAGCGAGGTTAAGTTTCCATTTTCAGGCGATTTGTAATGTGTTTTTTGATATGTGTGGAGTTAGGTGGCCCGCGAGTGTTTTTTTATTGGTTAAGTGGTCCTTGGTATGAAAAAGTTTGAGAAACACTGAATTAGAGGACGCACAATATGCCATCCTTTTTGCTACCTGATGGTGCCTAGAAGAGAAAATGAAATGGTTCATATACTGAGTATCATGTTGGTCAGATGGAACATTGTTCTTACCTCCATACTGATGGTTGACTATCAATCAGTAAGCCACTTGCTCTTCAAGATGACTGACCGTTGTTGAGGCATAAACTTGTCCATGGGCAGTGGAGGACATGCAACACACTTCGGTTGCTCTGTGGGAAAAGATATGTGTTGTATTTTAAATTGGGTGTTAGGGTTCTGTCAGGTCTTAAGAGCCTGTCCATGTCGCTTTGAGTTCTGCAAATGTCTGGAGAAATGGTTTGAAAACTCATGGAATTTTCATGGCTTTTGTTTAGTCTTTGAAATCTCTGTTCATAATCTGCCCTGCACTCTATTTGTTCTCGTCTCTTTCTCTCCCTCATTTACAGCTTCGGCCTCATCTCTATTAATTGCCCTCACCCTCACACACTCCTCTTTATCGTTTTCCATTTTGCTTTTTCCCATGTCATCAGTTTCTTTCTCATCCTTATCCTTCTTATCCCCTAGTTGTCTCACTCCCATCTATCTTGTTTACATGTTGCCACACTTAAATCAATCCTTACTTTCTTTGCTAAAGCTCCCTTTTGCTCGACATCACGTGATAGGCGGATTTCTATCAAGCCTCTATCTCTATCCGGTTATTATTCCTTATGTACATTGTTCCCCTCTCCTTCTTATCTCAAGTCATTAATTTTTTTACCCTTTATTTTCTATACATCTCTCCTCCCACTATCGTCTCCTGGCTAGATTCCTGAGCTGGGTGCTGCTGAAGATGTTTTCTTCCATGTTTGGCAGTATTCAAGCTAACCTCAACCATCTGCCGGCTTTGCACAGAGCTTCCCAAGAGGTGCAAGTATCCATACACCCACACATGCATATGCCGACGCAATGTGCTCATTTTAATATTCAGAGAAGATGAAATGTCCATAAACGTATAGCTCAAAGGGTGTCAACTCGTCCCACAAAACATTAAAAGCCCATTCTGCATTTACTGCCACTAATATGATGTTTTGGTTCGCGACACATCCACACTCAGGATATGCTCAGCCGTTTAATGAGATTGTTAACATCTACAGCCCTGTGTGTACACATCTCCTACAAATCAATTGAAGATAAAACAAAATTATCATATTTTTTTAGTGAAGTAAATGTACTTTTTTAAAGTCTGTAAAAATAATGAAATGTTCATTTTCAAGTACTTACTTGCCTTATTATAGTTTTTATACTGTTATCCTTTTCTTGCACCTTATACTACACAACTCTAATTACATGGTTGACTGAATAATTATAGGTAATAAGTCAGGGCTGCTGTTGGAGAGGTTCACGATGGAAATAAATGAATCCAGTGAACTATATCTTTGATTTCAACCTCACTGAAATGCAGTGTATTACGCAAATGAAGGCAAAGCCACAAGGACTTTCGTTTTTTGGAATATGGTGCATTTTTTTTTATGTTGTTTACTCAATTTGAATAGTGTCTTTTGATTTTTGATTTTATTATCCTACTGATTCTGCCAGTATGTTCTCATGTTTAATTCACACATACTTAAGGGTAAAGAGAACTACTTCATGTGAGATACTGAATACTTGCATGTTTTTTGCAAACCCTATTTCTGTAGTGCCACGATATCGACAAAAGCATAATCCCTTTTATCTGTCTGCTTTCATTTCACTCGATATACAGTATAATTGAGTTCGTCATAGTTGCTCTTTATTTCCATGTTTCTAATGGAAGAAAAAAAATGCTTCTAAAAGAAAAAGGGCCACATAATATACAGAGTGATAGAGCTGTTGCTGCCCTTGGAACAGGGTATGCTGTCACTCTACAGTACATACTGTCACTGTTCTTAAATCTCAATCTCTACATGAATGGCAGCATTCCATTCCAGTGACTGTTGGATTCCAACACAGAGAAATGCTGTCAGTAGTTTATAGAATAAAGTAAGAAAAACATCAATTTTACTCAAACATGTATCTATAAATAGTAAAAACCAGAGAAGCCTTTAATTTTGCAGTGGTCTCCAAATTTTCCAGAGCTGTATAACCTTAATCTCTGTCAAGGTTCAAGGTTCTTTATTGTGAAACTAACATAGCTACAGAGTAATTATGTCGTTGAAAATCTTAGGTCACAGGCTTCTCCAACAATGCAACACAATAATACAGATAAGCAGACAATATTAAAACAATATTAAAACATACTATATTCAAAGTAATACAAAAAAGAAAAAAAGAAAAATTTTAAAGTGGGGGAAAAACAGAAAGTGAAATAGTGCAATACGAGTCTATATAAAAGTTATTGGAGTGATATATTAGATAATAGATAAATAATTACTAAGTAGCAGATGAATGTTATGAAATTATTTCAGCAGTTCAGTTGTTTAACAGTCGGCATCTTTCTTAATTATTCAAATTTAAAACTTAATTACATTTTGTATGTGGTTTCAACTTTTTCAATAGGTTTTCTTGGCATTGCATTCTTCTGATGTCATCTGAAGCTTGTGGAGCTAGATTATAATATTGATTGAATATGAGGCCACAGAAAAACTCTAATCCAGGCGTCACCTCTGCACAACACAGTTGTTTGCCATGATGAATGACAATGTGAAGGCTCCTGTTTGACTAAAGCTGCTTCTCCTCTGTAACTCAGGGATCGGTGCTGGTTTATGTGTATTCACATCAGAGCGTCGTGGACTGTGCTCTCATCCCTCTGGTGCTCTTCTGTCACAGCCTCAGAGTGCCATACACTGTTTTCCCGCTCCACATTACCAGCTCCTTCATAAGGTACAGTCATACACACATAAACTCACAGAGAAGCATAAAGCTAAAAGGTATCTTCCACCACAAATAAAGCTTGCAGACAAAAGATTAGGAAGCACTCTGTTTGTCCTATAGATCAATCCTGCAGAAAGTCGGTGTCCTCGTACCACCTGCACTGACGAAGGAGGATGCTGAGACTGACAGACTGCACGCCCCCGTCATGACCTCTGTAAGTCTGTGTTGTTGTTATGGTTTTAAAATGAGATTGGATGTGGCAATAGCCAGAATTATAAAGAAGTTCTGAGTCAGCAGTGGACGCCTAAACACAAACGTTTGCTCAACAAGATTCTAACAAGATAAGGATTCAACAGACATGCAAGTAGCTCAGAGAGTCTGAACTAAGGCACAGAGGCGCTATGAGCTGAATGCTAACCTGCGGATTTAGCTGCTGGAATATTCTGTTGCGCGAGTTTGGCAGTTGTCGACTAGAGTTTCCCACAAATTAAAACCAAAATGGGTAAAAAAGGTAATGGGGTTCAAAGTTAAAGTCAATTATCCTTAGGTCATCATCTGTGCATATTATTATTCCAATAAATCCACTAGTTGAGATATTTCACACAAAACCACAAATGTCAACCTTAAAGTGGCACTCAATTAAAAAGTCAGAGGATCAATTCAGTTCGGAACCAAATGTAATGGTTAGCTAATAGTCACTGATATCATTTAGTCCAAATTGGTGACCCAGAAAACTGACACCAACATGTCCGTCCATAGAGTAACACCAGTAGCATGGCTAAACATCTGAGTTTTATTTGAAGGTATCACTGCCAATGCAAGACGCATTTGCAGAAGCTACATGAAGCTAATTTAGCCTGTAGCTTCAAGTGGGATGACTTTGAGGATTGCCTGTTTAATATCAAATGTATTTAAATGCAATATCTCTCCTACTTTTGATTCACAGAAGTCTTTAAACAACTGTTTACACATATTCAAATGCCCACTTAAAAACTGAAAAGCTAATTTACGTTTCGTGAACCCTTTTCTGAGAGTCACTAATGATAAAACACCTACCTGCTAACCTCTCCATCCTGACAATTGAGCAGTGCGTCATATGCTGCATATGTGAACCCAAAAACAAGTCTGTTTACTACTAAATTGGAAAAAAGCACAGGTCCACGAAACAAATAAAACGTTGCTAAAGCATTTCGCTGAAAAATCCTTCACTGACAGCAGGTAATTATATGAAATTGCAGGGTAAGATACCTGTCCTTCTAATTTGGCTGTTTAGCGTTTGTGCATTTTGGTTCAATTCATACACACTCACACTCACATGCACACACAAACACACACATTTCATTGCACTCCGTGGTGAAGTGTTATCACAGGCAGCCCCTCAATCAGAAACCTGTCTCTTCAGCCTTCTCCCTCATTCCCCCGTACTCATCACACTCTCTATTCATCCTCAAAATTACCAAGGCGCTTGAGTTTTGCTACAGAGATTGCAGCTTTGGAGTTGGTTGGATTGACAAAGCAATGAGGAAGAGGGCGGAGGAAGCAGAAGAATAGTGTTTGGTTTGATTGTGTGAGCTTGGCAGGTCTGAGCAGGTTGCTTCTATCTTTATGAGAAGGTGATTTATGTGTTTTGGCCATATTTTAAAGATTGATATGGTCTGTAAAAAGGACTCCCTCCCATCTCTCCTGCGTCTATCACACTTTCCTTCACTACCATCTTTGTACTCTTCTTTCGAATGCTGTGCTGTTTACTAGACTTGTTATCAATGATCAACACTTATTCATCATTCTGTCTTTATGTCTAACAAGGTAGATATTTTGCGCTTTGTTTTAGTTTCCCTAAAGACGATTTAATTTACCTGCTTTATTATGATCAATATTTAGCTATACAGCTCAATAAAACGGTTCCGTCTGGCATTAATCATCCAGGCTACAGCCACAGTGGAACATAAACAGGTTGTTTATGCGTGACGCAGCAAGCCGTTTTTCATAGATCGTTTATGTGAGTAAGTATATTGGCTGTGCATGTGGAAGCAGGCTTGTGTATTGGTTTATTTCAATGTTAAAAGACTGTTATTGTTTATTGAGTGCAGGCCTGCTTGGCTGCTTCTCAATGGTAATTGAATTGTCCTTGGCTGTAAGGTGAAAACAGTTCTTGGGGCAGGGGAAAGTATCTCTGAAATGTCATGAAGTGTCCTCCACAGTCCCTTTTTTTAATCAGCTCTTTATTCTGGCTGCTTGCTGCGTTTGGACTTTTCCTCCCTCTGCCACCCTCCTCACTTTGTTTTCCTGCCTTTTGTATTCCTTCAAAGGTCTAGTTTGCTAAATTTAATAAATGCACAACAGGATTTTTTATGTGAACTGCTCCCCTACTGCGAAGACCGTTCCGACCTTAGTCTCTGCCACCATCTCTCCTCAGCTGGTACGTGAGCTGCTACAGGAGGGTCAGGCCCTAAGTGTCGGCGTGGCAGCGGAGTCTGGCCGGGGCGGCCAGTGGCTGGCTTCCATCAGACAAGTCATCAAAGAAGGATCTGTCCCCGATGTCAGTCTGGTACCTGTGGGCATCTCCTACGACTGTGTGCCAAAGAGCAACAAACAGGTGGGTGCATGTAAATACACATACTTGCAAGCACACACAAACACGACCTAATGAAATCCCTGGGTTATGTCTTCAGGAGCAAGTGAACAGGTTGGTTTAAGAGCAGAGGTATTAAAACTGTGAGGTGCGTCAAGTTGTAACTCACTAAATCCATGGAAACATTAAACCACCTGTCTTCATTGCAGGTAGTTGTAAAATTAAGAGCATGCTTATTCCTCAAATAGTTTTTGGACAAGGAGTCAAGGAAAGACCGATTACATTTTGGAGCTGATCCTAATCACGCGAGGGATACACAATTTGTGATCCATTGTTGTTATCACTGCATATTCATGTTTGTGCTGCATTCATGTGGTGTAAAAATCACCAGAAATTGAGTTCAAACTGAGAAAAGTCCTGTGACCGCCGGATCAGAAAAGGTTTTCAGTGTTAATGAAATGCTCTGAGCAATGACGTACAACAATTCCGCTTTGGAGCGACCATGTTGTTCCACAATCACTGCTTGAAGCTCAAAAACACACTAAAGTTAATCTGTGCATTTTTTCCCTTTTTAATGGCAATTGTGATTTTTATAGTCTCAATTAGTCTTGCAGTCTGTTCTTTTCACTTAAAGAAGATACTCCAGAGCGGGTGTTGCTTTTAGTTAATTGCCATGATAAGGTCGTCCACTAACCATTTTGTTCTGTCATTCAAACAGTACTAGCAACAACACTATTGATCTTAGTGCTCCTCGTTGATCCTGCTCATTAGTGCTATTGCTGCTGTAATGTCCCTCCTAAAGGCACGGTCTCATTAAGATTCAACGCTAACTCTCTGTTCATATCTCTCTGAAGACTGTGTGTGTTACATATCCTCACAGATTGGCCTCAGCTCTGTGTTGCGCTGGCTGTGCTCTCTCCTCTGGAGGAGACCGGAAGGAATTGTGAGGATCGACCTCGCCCAGCCTTTTTCTCTCAAGGTGCAGAGCAGAGAGCATATATCATTCAAGACTTGCTTATCATTTACAGAAAATGTTCCAATCCCATTTTTGCTGGAAAACCCTTTTAAAATCTATACATTTCTGCATTTGACATATCATCTCGGGATAAAGATTTAGATTGGGCTTGAGTTTTTGCCTTCCTAAAGTATGGTAAAAACTAATCCTAAAAACAAATGTTTGTGATATTTTTCCTCTCCATTTATATTTGCTGTCTCTATAATTACCATCTTGAGGCTTCTTCTGGGGTTTGGACAGGCAAAGAATAAGCCTACACTCACCTCGTTAACTTGGCTTACCCATATCAATTAACTTTATCTTGGCTTTAATGATAGAAAAGGAATTCAATTATACAGTGGGAATGTCAAGGTGATTGTAAATATCCTTGATTCTTACAGTTTGAGCCAACTTCCAGAAATATTAAGTGTTGTGTGTGTGTAAGTGTTATATTTCCAGACCTCATTATTTACTTGAGTTTACAATTTTGACTGTCATGATTAGAGCTATTCTTTTTTGATTTATCCTGTTGGCAGAGGCAGGTAATTTGGCATTGGGACAGCAGACTGTGCCAGCGGCGTGGATCATAAAAGCTAAAAGGATATTGTCCATAAGAATGAATTTCAGGCATGGTTTGGGAGCTTCGCTGTTGGCCACAGTGTGTTTGATCAGAGCCAGAATTTGCTCCCAGTTGTGGAGCCTAGTTAGACTTTCCAGGAACAGGATCAGAAATGTCTTTCAGCTAAATTCAACATACCGTAATTTTCGGACTATAAGGCGCACCTGAATATAAGCCGCAGCAGCTAAATTGAATGATGTGTACATATATAAGCCGCACTGGACTATAAGCCGCAGGTGTTTTAATGTTTAATTACCATATGTAAGGGTTCGTGCACAGAGGGGATTGTCGGGAAAGAGATGGCTGTTTGAGGAAGCTCCCATTTATTAACATTTCAACAAACAAGTTGCATATTTGCATAACGTATTCAAGTGTTACCATTTAGTGCAATAGTAGCTACAGAACATGTACTGTGCTGTGTAAACTGTACTGTATCACATAGCGTTTCAGACACACAAACTTTTCAACTTTCGAACTCCCAGCGCACGTACCGGCAGTGATCTACAGCAGTGGTTTTCAACCAGTGGTACAGGGACAAACTGTCTCGCTCTCGTAATGTCTGTCTGTCTTGCTCTCGTTCTGTCTCTCGTACCACTCGGTTCTAATTTTACTTTTGCGCGCTACCTGTCTCACTCTTTTCCGGCCTCCAGCTTTTCCTGCTGGAGCCCGCCGCTTAAAGGTGGGGGGCGCGGACCGGCCATAGAGCCCATAGAGTTAAAGGTGGTGGACTGTAACCTGTAAAATCCATAGATTTAGGAGGTCCTCTAGTGGCCGTTAGCTGTAAAAATCCATAGATTAGCCGCACCGTTATATAAACCGCAGGGTCGAAAAATGGGAAAAAAAGGCGCGGCTTATAGTCCGAAAATTACGGTATTATTATTTGTATGATGAGCTTTCTGCCTTCCTGTCATTAGGAGTTAAAAATGTAATGACTATGTAATAGATTAGATTAGAACCTTCATTATCCTAAACTGCTGGGACATTTCCCTAAAGCCAATACCTTTTATATTGTCTACTCTTCACTTACTTGTCAGCATAGGTCGGCATTGATGTATAGAGCCGACAGAAGACCTTGTTTATATTGGCATCATATTGAGAAGGCACAC